TTTTTCAGATTCAGATCTATGCTAGTAGAACAGTAGAAGAACTTAAGTTGTTCGCGAATTCGTGACTCTAAAACAATTAGAATAATTCTCCTTATTTCAATTTTCCAAGACTGCCGTTCATAAAATAAAATTACCAAATAATAGTTTTAAACTGGTAAAATATTGATATTAGCTTGCTCATCATAGTCCCAGAACATTAAAATAAAAAATAATGATGATATGTTTAAATAATCACTTGTTATATACATAGACCTGGTGTAAAATTGTATACGAAAATCTTTCTTATTATACACTGAGCTTATTGTTAGGCTCTGTTAACAATGTCTAACAATAATTGTTAGATACTGTTAACACGATGGTATATGCCATTTGGACAACCTTTACTTTCAACATTTTTGCATCATTATTTTCCGCGAATATATTTGGCAGCAAGTGGTATAGTGAAAGACGTTTTAGTAGTGCCTATGAGTGCGAAATTCTTTTAAGCGTGGTACTCGTTTGTCGTGAATATCGATAGGAAATTAAAGAGGTAAGTGTTTCCGATTTACTGCTAGATACCAACCTGCCTATCTCTAAACACTCATCCTGATTAGTCACAACAAATTACTCATCAAACCAAACTGACCCTTAAACATCCCAGCCCTTGTCGCGTCATTTTTCCGTCATCCACCCCCCCCCCCCCCATGTCGCAACCAAAATTCCCACTATATATACACCCACATCCCAAGAATCCTTAGACCTTTTTCTTACTCCAACACTGGACGATCCCGAGTACGAGACGCATTTGTACCGTCGATAGTGAAATAGATTTCAAAGATTTTGCATAAAACACAAAAATTGATTCCACCGACCCGGAATCCAACATTGCTATTAGGATGTGGTTAAGAATTGAGGTATTGTTTTGTAATGAAGAAGTAATATTTATTAACAATAGATATAGGTATACAGTAAATTCTTCCTAGAATTTCAAATGTCGCGTTTCTGTGAATTTCTCTGTGCTAGTTCTACGCCCATGTGATTTATTACTACGTCGACGCTAAGATTTGACAGAGTCAGTCGAGTGTGTGGTGCTGCACGCGACGCGTCTCCTTTGAATTAAATTCCCGGAAGACAACTCATAATACAATAACGTATTTAAAAACTGAATTTTTTTAACATATTGTATACGCGGTACTGGGATCACCAACAGTCAGAGCGCGGTGTGTTCTAACGACACCGGCGATGGTATATCGTGGTATCTTTGATATACAGTTTACATCACCGTCGGTGCGCGCTGACGGAACCGGCGGAAACGTAATCTGATATTTTAGAATCTCAGTCCAAAGTAAACTATAGATTAATTTTTGTCCGAGGCTAAAGTTTCTTTTTTAACATATTTATTTATTTAATATTTATTGTGTAATTCATTTCATTGCATTAAAACTGCACTGATATTATACATAATTATGCATAAGGATTAATTAGATAAATGAAAAATTATATTCTATATTAAATTGTTATATAGCGCATCATCTATGGAATCATATAGTATCGTGGTTTACGGTGATGGTTTTACTCTATTTTCTAATAACAAATAATGTAAAAAAATTAATTTATAAATAATTCATATTCAAATTGGCTGAAAATTATTACCATTGTATGAATACGTACTTATTTAATTTTCCTTGCCTAAGAAAAGTAATTTTAATCTCTGCAGCATGTATTGTATGCAAGACGCTGCTCTTGCACTGTGGGATGTCGTTATCTCGAAGGGCCTACGTAATTCATTGTTCACAATCCCGTGAAAAATCATCTGATTTAAAATTCCGGAGTTGGTGAAAAAGGTACAGTAAACTGTTCCTGCACATTCTCCGTCAAATCATCGTCATTCTCTTGAATTCGAATATTACTTCCAATTTCTAATATTTGGTTTATATGTATGCCTGGAAAAGCAGCGGTCAGCATCGGAGACAGTCGGTGTACAACATTGTAATGATAGAATAAAAACGATGACTTAGCTTTTTCATTTCTAATTTTTTATTCATGAAAATTTTTTTAATATATTGTGGTCACATTTTTCCAATTAAAATGATACCAAACACGACATGCTTTAGACCATTCTTATTCATTATACGTAATAAGTAACTTATTTTATTTGCGAAAAAAACCTTACAAAAACTGATTTTTAACATATGAAATATAAAAGGCAAAGTCAAAGAAGGTATGTACATATATTTTTCGAAAGAAAATATCACCAAAACTACGCTATTCGAGCCTACGTTAGACACCGGGAGTAGGAAGCTTTACACGGATGGGAGACAGAAGGAAACGGAGACGGCCGAGAATGAAGTGTTCCAGGTTTGACATTTGCTGGGACGGGAGAAGCGACATCATTTTGAGGACGAGCCTACGCGTGGAGGCTGTAAAGGAATTGTTTTCTGTACATTTTCCATCAATTCTGGAATTTTAAGATGTGGAACATCGAGAAAGAACACGACATTTAGCCAATTTGAATATGAATTATTTACAAATTAATTTTTTTACATTATTTGTTACAGCATCAGTAAAGCAACAATTTTGCCTAAACTCTTTTCCACCGCACACCACGTGCATCTTGGCAGTAAATTACGTGCAACGTCTATCGTCTTTGATGTTGTCAACAGAAATATCTGTCCAAACTATATATCGTGTTTCGTCTCATTTTAATCAGAAAAGTATCGGCAATATATTTAAAAAAAGATCAGTGTTAAAATGTTAAAATTAAAAAAAGTTATGTCATTGCATTATGAGTTGTCTTCCGGGAATTCGAGTCAAAGGAGCTGCGGCGCATGCCGCAGCACACGTGTTCATCAACACTATCGAACCTTAGCGTAGCGAGAAAATCGATAAATTAAAGGACCGCAAGAAAACCAATAAATAGGGACCGTAGCAATATCTGGGCGTTAGAATTGGTATGCTGAAGTTACGCTGAGAAGAGTGATGTTACTGTATTTTCTTACTCAAATTCATCCATATTTTGATAATCTATTTAAAAAAACAATAGCATTCTTTAAAACAGAGCCCCTCAGGCTGCTGAAAATAAATCTGAAAAGGTGCAGGGATGCTCAAAATCTTGTGCATCAATTTGCGTGCAAGTGAGTGGTGGATGTTGCCCTGATCTCGGAGCCGTGGAAGGTACTGGCTGACTGGTGTATCGATCTCAACTGCATGTGCTGTTATGCTGTGCGTATATTGTCATACGTTGCTGGCTATGGTTGTAAGTTCTTTTTTTATCCTACTTTTAATACTTTTACGAAACGATCCGTCTGACTGTTTGTTTCTGTAAATTTCGAGGTAGAGCAAATTCTTCCTAATTGACCCTCAACTTGAAAACAAAAATGGACAATTTGGAAAGAAGAGGTACAATTATTCGAGCCTTGCGGCTCGTTTTATAGTTATTGACAATCGGTAACGATCCTACAATCATTCTGTTTTGTAGTCTTTTGGGATTGTCACCTTATCGTTGCACATAACACTACCCTGCTGTAAGCTGTTTGATCAACACTGAACGCGAGCAGCCAATCATGTACCTTTTTGTAATGCCAATCTAATTTTGTCTAATTTTACGTCAGCTACAGTCGCTCTAGCTATATCGTCTACTGTAACTGGCAATATAATTATGCTATCTAGTTCGTAAATGTCTACTATGTTGTATTCAGATTGTGATTGTTCTCGTATCTGTAAATGTATGTGATAATTCATCTGCGTTGTCATGTAATTTGCTATTTTTATATTTACTTTGCAAAAATATTTACTTTGCACTTTACAAAATGTGCTAAAACTTAGTGGTTTTTAAATTGCTGCTCGGCTAATAATTCATACAGTGGAATCAACAATGCGTTTAAATTTTCAATAAATCTATCATATCAGTAGTTTCTAAACTCAATGAATGCCTTTAATTCCGTAGTATTTTATGAACGTGGCATTTTGTCAATCGCATTTATTTTCGATTTAGTCTTATGAATGCAATTTTTGTCGATTGTATACTCGCAATATTCTATAGAATCCTTGAATAATTCTGATCTTCCACATTAATTTTTATATTCGCTTCACCTAATCGCGTTAAAATATACTGAACGCGATTAAAGAAAAAAACGGGAATCAAGTTTAGTTTTGTAATCGTCCAAAATTTTATCTACAAGGTTTCCGTGCACAATAGACTCGTGAGCAACCCTTTCCTCTAGAATAATCTGTAATTGCCGATTCCATTTTCGGCACACACGCACTCACGGCACACACATACTTAACGCGCACGCATTTTACTTACTACATTAATAAGTCCTAAAATTCTTTCCAAAACTTCATCTAGTTCAGATGATGATGCATCAATTGATGAAAAGAATACATTTTCATAAAAAAAATGTTTAGAATAGCAAATAAAATCGCCTTTAAAGTAAAGTTTAAAGTATCCAGATGTACCATTCTTCCACGAGAAGAAGGCATGGTCCATTTCTGCTGCAGTCCGCTGATCCTCCTATAATCGCAGACAGTAATCGGTAATGATCGATGACGGTGACAAAAGTCATTTTTCCGTGTACAATCATTATCCTCTTGGTCTCGCTACTATCTGTCGTTGACTTTTGTCACCGTATTCGACGCAGCCGAAGTTTGTTTGTAAGGGACCTCCGATAAGCTAAACGCTCGATTGAAGAATACTGACGTTCGGCTTTTCGAGCCGTTCGGCATCGACCAAAGCCAATGTAATCACCTAAAAACCGCCCAAAGACCTCTATGAATCATCGACTAAAAATAACTTGTGCTTCGATCCCTATGAATCAACTACTAGATATAACTTGTGCTCGACCCTTATGAATCAACTAGAATTTACTTGTGCTTCGACCCCTAGGAGATAAGAACTTAGTATAAGAGACCGACCGAAACACTCAGTCCTCAGTTTTGACTGAACCACGGAACCTTGTGTATGGAACATACATATTATTTGTAACGATCAGTATTGTGAATAAAGAGATTGATTGTTGGGCTACGGGTCAACATCATTTTTTTTTATTTCAAGTCTCGTTTTCACGTGACACCAACCGCGCGGCATGCCACATCTCGTAACTCTCTCTCTCTCTCTCATGACTCGTAATTCCGCAATTTTTACATCGTACATTGCGATCGAGAGTACAATTTGTCGTTAAATGGTTTGTGCCACATCTGAAACAAACAATATTAGTCACCGAACGGTACTGCTTATTTGGCGGTCTCGTGGATCTGTGTGTCGTAGTGAAGACCGCGATAGCAATTCCCGATTGTAGTTGCGTGGCGTCTTTTTCCGACAATTTTATTAACGTGGCAATTTGTATTTTCTCGAAATCTAAATCTTCCATTTCTAATAAACGTGCTTGTGCCCGTATGCTGACTAGCCTGTAAACGAATTTGTTCCTTAAAGCCGTTTTTAAATAATCCCCAAAGTTGCAATTAATACTTATGTAATACCTCAACAAAGGTTTGTACTGCCTTTCCGTCCACTTGCTTTCGTAAGTAAAAACGGTATTTTTCTGCGGTTTCTAGTAGTTTCGGTGAGTAAAATTCTTCCAAACGTTTGTAAGGATCCGCCGGGGCCAGCTTATTACAAATCATGTAGAAGGCTGTAGATGCGATGTAATGTAATAGATGTTGCAAGTATCATTTCCAGTTCGTAATGGCCAGAGCAAACGTATCGATATTAAATGTACCTTGTACAAGAATAGGTTGCGGTATCTTTCTTTGTATACTAAAATTTTCTCCCCAACACTCTGTAAAAAAAGAAGAATAATTGAGCTTCTCAAGAAGGAAAATACTCAGAGGGAAGTAGCAGAAATAATCGGGTGCAGTCAAAATACCATTAGTGATCTAAAGAAGAAATATGATGAAGCAGAGAGTGTTTCTAATCGTAAGAGTTGTGGTCGTCCTCGTGGAACTACTAAATAAAACGATAGAAATATACGTAAAATTCTGAAGAATGTGAGAAGAGCCACTTCGAAACAATTAAATGGACAATGGACACCAAATGTCTCTGATCGTACAGTTAGGAATCGATTAAACGAAATGGGTTTCACATATCGAAAAACTAAAACAAAACCCTTGCTTACAAGGACACAGAGAAAGAAACGTTTGCAATGGTGTAAAGAACGTAGGAATTGGACTGGTCGAAAATAATATTCAATGACGAGTCACGTGTATGCCTTGGAGTAAGAGATGATGCAGGAACATTTGTTTGGAGAAGAACAAATAAAAAGTTTAATGAAGATTGTTTAAACCATAAATAAAAATTTCCACAGTCATATATGATATGGAGCTATGTGTTAGCGAAAGGAGTGGGAAAATTGTGTATCCTTTATTAAAATGTTAATTCAGAAACATACATTCATATCTTGAAACATTTTTTAATCCAAAGCATAGAAGATATGTTTGGAGATTCTTTTACCTTTCAAGACCACAGCGCTAGTTGCCACCGCAGTAAAATAGCGAAGTATTATTTACTACAAAATGACGTCAAGACTATGCAATGGTCGATAGAAAATTTATGGACAAAATTAAAGAATTTGGGAAGAAAGCCACAAAGTAAAGACGAGCTTCGACAGGCCATAATATTATCGAACTTTCACCAATAGATTGCAGAAACTTAATCACATAAATACCACAGCGTATTAAAGCTGTTATTCGAGCACAAAGTAATGTTATAAAATGTTAATTGCACCTTCGGCTAGAAACTTATTTCCATGTCTCTCTCTGATCGGAAACTTTTTTCCGTCCAAAATTTTGTTTTACCTCTTTTTTGTCAATTGAAATAAATGAAAGTTTATGTTATTTTGTGATTAATTATTTCATATAAAATTTCCCTACATTCCTGATCGATTTTAATTATACACAATAACATTTTAATATCCCCAAACACGACAGTTGTTCATAAAATTTTGTATCAACCTGTTTGATCGGAAACTTTTTGCCACATGTTTAATATAACCCTGTTACAGACTGTGTGTACGCCACAAAGCGTGCGAATTGTCGTCTACGTAGGAAGTGGGCAGAATGATGCACGAGGCGGTTGTACTTGCGTTCGAAATACCTTCCTTAATTGTTTTTAACACATTCGGTGCGTTCATACACCTATTCTTACATTCTTCAGATTCAAAACTGCTTATTAGATTGCATCATGCTCATTTACTTTTGGAATTTGTTAAAGGAAACAATGTCAAATGTGTGTGTAAAATATTTAAATGGAAGTGAGAAAGCTGTAATTACAATTTCGAATAGAAATACCATAAATTCTCTCCATTTGTTTCTTATCTTGTAGACAGAAATAGACAATTTGGTAAGAGGCGATATGATTATTCGGACCTCGCGACACGTTTTTATAATTGACAATCGGCGACTATAATATATAATATATATATAACGTGCCGCGAGGCTCAAATAATCTTATCTCCACTTCTTAAATTATCCATTTTCGTCTACAAGCTGAGGAACAATTGGAAAGAATTTTTTCAGAAGGAAATTAATTGTTTTGAATGTGAAGTATGAAATTTTGTGCAATGTTGAGGTGCGTCGTGTGAGCACCTGATATCGTTATTCCGCGATATTAACTATCTATCGGGTTGTAAGGCCGACTACGCTGCGCGACGGAATAGGACGATATCGTTGTCTGTTTACTTAAAAATGAACAACTGTTTCACTTAATAGTTCGTGAATTGATAGACTGAATGAGACGTAGACTAGAGTGACGAGCGATGTTGAACGATATGAACGAGGTTACGCAGGAGTAAAAAATGACTGGCCGAGGTGGTCAAGAGTTCTCGTTTTTATATGTTTCTCGCCGAGAGAAAACTTGAAGATCATTGGTTGATCGCGAGGTGGAAAGGGACCTTAGGAGTCCCGGTCGTACCCAGTGTCACAGGTAGCAAGAAATCCCGGAAAAGGCGACCGAAGGGATGCGTGCTGGTGACCCTGTCATAAATTAAGGAAATGTTGCCGATGAAGTGTGCGTTATCCGAAATTGCAGAAATTACTTTATTGCCGGAAAGGAAACGGCTCGAAGGAATTAGAAATTTAGAAACTGCAGGCGAAGGCTCTACGAAATTGGAGGCCCAACGAACGTGACTTTTGTCAATTGCACGTCGTTCGTTGAAGGACCGTCAATTTGCCACGCTGCACCGAAGGTTCCCCGTAAATAAACTGCTTTTTAGGGATTGAAGAAAGGTAGTCCGTCCCGGAGAAAGTCGGGCGGACACAGCTGGAAAATTCCGTTGCAAGACGGAACATGCAACTTAAAGTCAATTACGGAAGAAAACATGCTACAAAAATAAATGAAAAAGATAACAAAACGGTTATTTGTAATTTCGCATGGAAAATAAGATTTTGTTTGCATAAGTCGCTGTACAGGTGTTTATGTTTATAGTGTACAAATATATTTGTACTCCTCAATTGCTGTTATATTGGTCTTAATTGAATTTTGAAAATTTAATCCCAGAATCCTTTCATTTTGAAATGCGTTTGTGCGAATTGCACTCACTGTATGATCGAGGTACTTAGTATATTAAAACAAGGTTTACACAATCCATAATATGAAAACAACATGAAGCTCTTAGTTCAGTCATTTTCGGGGTGACTTACAAGTCTTTTCATTAACGAATATGTAGACCTTACAAATGAATGCTTATGTCAAGGAATATAATTTTTGAAGATGTTAGATAATTCAATTATTTATCAACACTGCAGATTTCATTCTGACTAACAAAAGTTTTCATATAATATTTAGCAACTTTACGATTTTTGAACGGGGATACAGTAAACCGTCTCATGTCTGAACCCCCATTATCCGAGTAGCCTAATATTCATATGTTTTATTCACCTAACGTCCTATTATTCGAACTGCGTTCTGCAGCAATGTTCGCATACAATTTTTTATAGGGTACTGGAGCCGGTTACTGTAGGGGCTAATTGCTATGCCTTTGGTTCGTTTTCGGGCATAATTAACTTTGTATTTATCGACTAAGCCATGTTAAATTTTTGTATTCACTTATTTTATTTATCTTTTAATACAAAAATTGAATATGTCTTATTCGATAAATATAATATTAATTATGCCCGAAAACGAACCAAAGGCACAGTAATTGGCACAGCAATATTATTTAAAGGAACACTATATAAAGAAAAAAAATTCCATAATGTGTGTGTCATGAAAGTATCGATTTATTTCTAGAGGATGCAATAGTGGGCTATACAGTAAGTTCCGCTCGGAGTAATCAATAAACCGTTAGATTTAAATCAATAAAGTGCAACTTTTGATATTACCTGTGCATGGTAGTAAATGTTTCCCTCGAAATTCAATTTTTTGAATTTTTACGACTGACTAAAATAGTTTTTCTTATAAAGTTTCTATCCATCTCTTGAAGCTACAAGATCCAAAACATTAATTCTCAGACAACTACGTTATTGGATTTAGTACTTTAAACATAAATTAATGAATTGAAACAAAAAATTAATTGTTCTGATTATTTGTTACGCTGTATTAATATAACGTATACATCTATGAGTATTTGGTTTTACTATTTAGAACAGAGATACACAATGCATATCGTATTTTCTTTATAATTTTTTAATGAAACACTTTTGAGCATATGTTTATATGATATTTTTTCTCATTTTGTCTCGTAGAATATGCTGACACCGTTTGGGCAACTCTGTATATGTGCTGACAGTCGCGTCGTTATTTATGTTGACGGCCGCAAATTTCAACAATGCGTTACATTTCACTGCTTTGTTGATGTCATACACGACTAAAGAAGCTCCTGTTTTTTGTTTACATTAAGTATGGGTAATGACTTAATTGCTTTGCGGCTCGTTTTTATAGTTACAGATTGTCAACAACTATAAAAGCAAGCCGCAAGGCTCTATTAATCGTACCTTCTCTTCCAGAATTGTACATTTTTGTTTCCAAGCTAAGTGTCCAATTAGAGAGAATTTACTATGCCTCTTATTTGTAGTAGTCCGAAAACTTGAGAACTACTAGAAGGAAACGTTTGTAACAAATTGCACATGAGTTTGAAATATCTAAAGAAGATGTTAGGAAGATATGTCAAAAATTACAAAAGATATATAAATCTGAAAACTCAGTAGATCGATTAATCACTAAAGAATTTTAAAAGATCCCCCCCCCCCGTTCACTATTGCACAATAATTGAAAAAATATCTTTATCTACCAATATCCATCACGCAAATCAAATCTCGCATTTGTGAGAAAAAGACCATATATTTCAAAAGTGAATGCACCAAAATATCTACATTTTGTTAAAGAACATTACAATAAGTCGATTTCATTTTGGAAATCAATCATTTGGAGCAATGAATTGAAACTTGAATTAAATTCGAATAAAAAGAAAAAATATGTATAGAGAAAAATAAGTGTAACGTACGGAGAATCTTCCCACATATTTTTTATATTTCTTCCTGAAGGCATACGCCAGGCTGGCGCCAGCCATTCCAGACGAACGTTCTGGAATCGGACCATATAGGAACACCCCCACTACCATTTTTCCACAAAAATCTCAGTATATAAAGGGCTCAAATGCGACCGGGATTTGGGCTAGTTTCGAGACATTCGTCGACACGTAAACATTAGTGAGATCGAGTTCAATTCTCTTTCGACCAATCTACGAGATAACAACCTAAAGTCAGAAGCCCCCGCCGGTTCAGTGCGAAAAACTGAGAGCGCGTTAGAGACCGCGAACACTTACTTACAATTGTTAAAACTCAACGCGTAATAAATTAGTTTTTACCAGTTCTCTTTGATTTCTAGTTTAATCATTTCCATCTCCTGTTTCGAACCAGTAGTTGGTAAAACCCACCAAGATATATCTTAACCGCTCGAGGTATATCTTTATTTTCTAACAAATTTACGAAGCACCCTAACACCAATTTCTCCAAACACCTTATCCTAACTTCCTTGAAGGTAGCCACCCGTGTCGAAATAAACATCGGCTGGTCTACGCACCTCATCCTAACCTCTTTGAAGGTAGCCACCCGTGTCGAAATAAACATCGGCTGTTCTACGCACCTCATCCAAAAATTCCAATTGCGTGCAACCTCCGGCCACCCAAACTGCCTGGCCCTCGGCTCGTAACAAAGGCGACGCTTTGAAGTAGACACTAATAACACTCACTGTCAAACACAATGGTGGGAATATAATGATACGAGGTTGTTCTTATGACAACCAAATAGGCTACTATTATTGATTATTACTGGCTGCTGGCTGTGTGTTAATAATAACGATCCAAAACACACAGCAAATATAGTTAAAACATTTTTCGAAGAAAATGGTATTTCTATGCTCCAGTTCAGTCCAGATTTAAATCCTATAGAACATCTAAGGGGTAAACTAGTGCTACAATTTCCACGAAATCAGAGATATAGAAAATCAGACCTTTTTACAGCCATAAAAAACAAATGGAATGAAATAAGAACAAATATTTTGGAAAAATTAATAAATATTTAGTAATATGCCAGGGTTGCTGTATTCTGCACCTTGTCCTGCAGGCTTGTACCAATAGATAAAATTATATGGACAATTTAATAGTCGCAAGTGGAATTCTGATACTAATTAACGTCCCAATAGAAGAAGTCATCAAGGAATTACCGAGTCAGAGAGCCACCTAGAGTGGGTAATATCTGAAACTTTTGTCACGAACCCAGTAGCAGGAAAAATCTTCGAGTAGATCATCAACGCTCCAGGGAAGATTAAACGGACTAACTTTGCTTTCAACAGAACATGACCAGTAACGAAAATTGATTATCTCGCGGTGATTAAAGATTTTGTTAACCATAAAGCAAGATAATAGATAAAATAGTTGAGGCTACAGAGGTCTTTTTGAGAGTCATGTGTGCTTTATGGAGAGTTACATAGTACGTACTTACACTTACACCCAAGTCTGCGTATACATTTTAAAACGATATAACTTTTTTAAATCTCGTCCAAACGACTTCAATATTTTTGAGATTTTAGAAACACTAGTTTACCAGGCAATGAGCATACAAATTTTTGCAAACATTGCAATTGGTCAGAATGACAAAATGTTATGATTGTTTTTATTTTTTTACTTGAACTTGTATTGAAAATTTAAAGTTTGCCTTTTGTATATCTCGATAGCTTATGTGCATGTTCTACTCAACGGAATATTATGTGAAAATTCATGTGGATTTTCTACCTAATGGTGTACAATACTTTGAATTTTTGCAGAGTTTTTAATTGTGAAATCAATTTTAAAGAAAATCCGGAAGCTTTGAAAGGCTTATTTCGTAAGGAAGAAGTCAATTCACCACATTCATACCTTTATCTTAATACTACCTTGTTATGGTTATGAATGTATATTTTTCAGATTTTTCATAGAGGTGAAACATACGGAGAATTTCCCGACGTATTTTTTTGAGTCTTTTACGCGTCATGCTTAGCTACATACACAGTGCGACAAATAAGTTTCGAGACTGGCCGAGGAAAACATCATTGAAACAAGATATATGAATATTTTTCGATTTTTTAAATCAAAATATTCTCCTGCAGTTTCAATTCACTTTTTTCAGCGATTCAACAATGATTCAAATGCGCGTTCTAGCTCATTCTGTGGAATTACCTCTAGCACTCATGTAGGTGTTTTGATGGTCAAATGTCTTAAAAAAAAAAACATCCTTTCAACTTCAATTTAAATTTTTGGAATAGGGAGAAGTCACACGGGGTCGAATCAAGCGAATATAGTAGATTCAACACGCAGACTTGATTTCGAGCCAAAAATTGACGAACAATGAGTGAGGTGAGACTCGATGCATTATCGTGCAACAGACACCAGGTCTATGCATCACGATATTCGGGTCGAATACGACAGATTCCGGCCATAAAACGCTTCAAAACTTCGAGATAATATGCGTCAGTAATTGTTTGGCCAGTTGGAACGAATTCCCTGTGGATAATTCCTTTGCTATCGAAGAATGTAATGAGCATTGTCTTAATTTTTGATGAAACTTTCCGTGTTTTTGTAGCCTTGTGGTGAATCTTTCGACTTCCATTCCGCACTTCGATGCTTGGTTTCTGGGTCGTACTGAGAGAACCATGTTTCGTCACCCGTAACAATTGATTTCAGGAAGTTTGGAACATTTCTGGCGGCTGCAACGACTTCTTTGGAATGATTGACAACGCAACGATTTTTTGTCATATTTCAAACGTCGATCTAAAAACATAGATAGTGCTATTAGTTACTAAGATATGGTCCGAGTCTCAAAACTTATTTGTCGCACTGTGTATATGCGGAGTCTCGAGGCTCGAGTTGTACTAGGGCCTCTGCCTGACGGCTATTCCCACAGAATGAAACCCGCCACCAAATCCGCTCCTAGTCAGGATCCAACAATAGGTTAATAAATAAATGTATTCAACAATGGTAAGTAAAATCACGTTTTCCTAAAGTTTGTTTGATCTTGGCGCTGTACTATATAGTTCTATAGGTTGTCTTATACCTCCACTATAACTGTCGTCATTTCGATGTATAAACGAAGTGTTTGCGAATCAATTCGAAGGGTTTGCAACCCACGGCAGTCATAATATGTAGCAGTACTATGTCTATCGTTAAATAAACTTCGACAACTAATTTCACATTAAAAATCGTTAATTATTTTCTGAATAATTGTTTTCTACAAACAGTAACAGGAATTTGGAACTATTGGCTTGCTTCACGCTCATTTTGTGTTGATTCTCTTTGTTACTTATTTTTTGAGAGAAAGGAAGATCATAAAAAATGACGGAGCCGTATTGCACATCTAAAATGAAAGGAAACGCTAGTTTACGCGATGCAGGATTGTCTTTTTTGTGTAAATTTGTTAGGGAATTTGTTTATGAATAAAAAGAAAGGAATTTAAAAATGAACGTTATTAATTAAAAATGTTAAATTACTCTAAGGTTGAAAAATTGTTTACTATATTCTCGCTAGCGCTATTTAATATTATTTTGCTAATTTCGTTCATTGTATATAATTTAATTCTTTCGGATTTCAACATTTTTAATTCGTAGACACCGAACTTTCTGGACCAGCCATACTTATCGGGCTCGTTATTTAAACGTTTTAGAGAAGCTTCAAATAATAGCTCCTCTGCCTCTCTTTCGTGCTTTCGTTTCTTGCTGATGTCACGGGACCGTATCAGGTCCTGAAGAAATGACGTATGCTCCTTTATACTCTTCTATCGTACAGGCGAATTCACCGATTCGTATGAAGAAGGTTAAGTTCAAATAATCACGAAACATAGAATTATTACTTAAGGTTCACAAAAGATCTTGTCTGAACGAAAGTAATTAAGTATTTCCGTAGAAAATATCAAAGTAACGCTTAGAACACAGAAATCGAACAATCTTCCTTTTTCCTGGTTTTGGTGGTGTCCATTGGGGTGGTTCGTAGGCTGGTAGATCGCTAGGCCATGGGATTTTGTGTAGTGTTGTCTTCCGAGGCGGTTGAGTACCGTACGCTTTCGAATTGTTGAGGGCTATTGGTTTGAACATTTTCCTGACAGCATATTTTTACACAAATGGTCGAAGGTATGCAGGTTTTTATACATGCAAGTCTTTATAAGAGCATATCTGGTGCAATTAGATTAGGCGTCGGAATGTCGCCCTGCTTCACACTGGCGTCGTTGCAAGGCGACATGACCGAAGCAGCGTCGTTTTTCTCGTCGTCACTTCATTCTGGGGCGGTTTCTGGGCTTATGGCTTCCACCTAAAATGTAATGGTTTTATGAAAATATTGTCAATCAAAAAATCTACTATAGTTTCGAACGTCAAGAGACGAATGGTTGCAACAAATTCAATCGTCGGTGGAATTTTTCACATTGCTTAGGAGCGATTGACGGGAAGCACGATACAATGCTTTAAGAATTGCGGGAGTAAATTTAATTATAAAGACACGTGCTATTATGTATAACCGATGCAGAATACAAATTTATTTACGTGAACGTTGGATGTAATGGGATCTAATTTGAGAGACCACGAAGGATTCAAGAGCGCTATATAGACATTATTGCATCAACTAGATCACGAAAAACTACAGCATCAAACACGTCGAATAAAAACTTAGAACATCGCGATATACCAACGAAATTGTAACTGTTATTATCAATAAGTTAAGTGTTGAATCTCCACAGATGAATTTCATTTCAACGAAGTGCAGTTATCGCCAACTGAGCTGCAGTGGATTTTACAACTCCGTGAGGCTAGACGTATGAGTCAACGAATTCGTGAACGCTACAAAAGTCTTTAAATCTGTCAATTCTCGAATCCTTTCCTGGGCGGAATATACCAATTTCATTTTGTTTTGTAACTGACGATGCGTTTGCTATGAAATGTCAAAACCGTATCCAATCTGCGACCAGCCTGCGCTGAATCGAGTTTTCTATAAAACAATCTATAGATTGTTTCGCGTACGTCTTATTAAAAATACGTTTCGACCAATTTCCACAAAACATTGTGCTATGCAGACATATGTACAATTTTTTGTATAGTCATTGGATTCTGATTAATTATAATTAGATTGTAGATGTTTATGCAAATGCATATGTTTACAGGAAGGAGATAAATTTATGGGACTTAGATAGAAATTTGTTTCATCATTTGAGGCTTACAAAATTATAATTTCTTTATTACATATTTTGCATATTCCATATATTTTGTATATTACGTATTTTGTGTATATATCTGCCTTATTTCTGTATATTTTGTATATGTATATTCGATTAATTAGATTTTAACACGTTGGGGAACATGATTAGAGGCGGCAATGTTTTATGCAAGCATGCGTATGCCATCAAAGAAGTAACTATCTTTCATATTATTTTATTTAGATAATTAAGATTAACTGCGAGATAATCAAGTTTTCATTTATTTCTGAGCTGACGGAACTTTTAAAGACAAGAACGCAGTGTGCGTTAGAGCAACACAAGAGATTTACCCATGGTCAAAATGTTACTGACGATTTTGCTTTTAGTCAGCTAAAAAAAAGTAATCGTAACGCATTAACGTAGTAGAAAGTACACTAGTAGTAGTAGCAATACTATAAGTAGCAGTAAATATTTGGAGATAATTCATGTTCTTGAATACATTCTGCATTAGTTTTGCATATATTTTGCATATTTCGACATATAAATTTTGCATATTTCGACATATAAATTTTGCATACATATCCGCAGTCTAATTATAATGAATTGAAAACGAAGGTACAGATGGTTGCGTGCACCCTTGCTCGTCCTAGAACGAATCAGTATACAGGGTGTTCCACAATTATTTTAACAGCCGAAAATGAGGGGTAGCTGAGGTCATTTGAAGTAACTTTTTCCTTTGCGAAAATGCAATCAGCGGCTTTGTTTACGAGTTATTAACGAAAACCACTGGCCAATGAGAGGTGACGGTGCGAGGGAGAGGGTCCGTGAGAGAGTCCGCAGCACGAGGCTTTGACAGAAGGTCGGGACGGACTCGAGCCGCGTTCGAAGTATTGAACAAGTCGCGAAGCGAAAATTTTCCGGATTTTTTTAACTACATAACAGTGATATTTTTAAGAAAAACGCTGTTCACCTTTACTTTAGAACGTCTGAAGAATATTCACTAATTTTTTGGACTCGAAAGAATATGTAGTTTAACTGTGACAGCCGTTTTAATTTTCTGGTGTGCATGACACCTTATGTGTACCATATGAAATTTTTATGCAAGGTGTGTACAGTGAACATTAACAAAGTTCGTAAATGATATTTTAATTTAAGTAATTCCGTGTACGAACAGAATTCAACGAATGATTCGCAAAGCTGATTTAATAATAAATAATCGCGTTAAGGTACGTAAAGGATTTGTTTTTTAGAGAAATATGAAAAATATTATCGAT